AAACTATCAAGAAGTTATACTGATCAAATAATGACTCATCCATATGGTGGATTACTGTGACGCAATCACAATGGGTGATAGACCTATATGACTTAGTAATAGTAATAGTAATAATTGCTAACATTGGTTGAGTCCTTAATAAATGACACTTTTTTAAGGGTTTTACATCCATTTAAAATACACACAAATACTAGAAAAATGAGAAGGATTATAGAGAAGACTTTTGCTTTCTCTTTACCTATGCAATTCGGTATTATGTATGAATTCTTAATAAGATTTGTGAATTACTTTTATGAAAAGCAATAGCAATGTTGCCATTTTGAAATAATCACTCCTTTATAAATTCTGTTATTTATATGAGGGTACTTCAGAAAGTTCATGGACAGATTTGTATTGTTTTTCAATTGTATTTTTCCAAGACTTTTTAAAGTACACTTGTAGTTGCAAAGCCCCATTTTAATTAAGTCACAGTGTCGTACGGAGCTCTCGCTTGCTAGAGCTGACTCTGTGCAACATTTCCCAACTCGTCTTTCAGTAACTTCATTCTGGTAAATTGCAGTGGGCAATGTGGTAGTGTTTTTACCATGGAAATTGGCAGACAATACACATCAGGGCTTTGTTTTTAAATGGAGTCGTGATTTACCAGCACACCACTGATAGAGAGCCTCAGACAGATCTGTCTTCCCTCCATTTCTCCCTCCCTCCCACATCTCTTTTAAATATGGACCAGGTATGTGTGTGAGCATTTATGGAGCTTCCAATTTAGCAGGAGTAGCAGATATTAAGAAATCATTGCATAAATAATTAAATATGGCCATGATAAACACTAAAAAGAGACAAATAGGGAATGACATGAGTATATTTAGAAAGAGACCTACCCTTGTCTGAGATAGTCAGAAAAGATTTGTGGGTGGTGGTGGTGTTTGTTTTAATTAAATTAGAATAGACAGTTACTCTTTTTATTTTTTCATTAATCTATTACGTTTGGTATTTTACTCACTAACCAGAATTCAGTAGAAATGAATAGTGCTCACTGTTTTTCCTGATGGGCATTGCCACTAATTGAATCACGTATTTATAACCATACTGCTGACAGTTACAGCTATTCTGTCCCAAAACACATGTATGCTGGTACTTAACTGTAGTAGTCTGAACTTTGTACACGATCTATTCTATTCATTTAATATTGTATTTATTTAAGGCACTGTGCATATATTGTGTTTGTATTTTGAAATAACTTGACATGGCTCGTAATATATTCATTGACACTTTAAAAGTATACAGGAAGTAGAAGTAGATTTGGAGGTTAATATTTTTTAATTTATTTGACAAACTCTAGAGCTTTCTTTTATTACAGGAATTTCTACAAAATACTTTCCTCAGTCTGGTCTATCTAAGAGTAGAAACCCCAAGCTTGTAAATTTTCAGATGCAGTTAGCTTCCTACCTATTTTACCTTATTTTTCTTTGACTCTAGTTTTCTTATAACTCTTTCTTTTCATCTAACACCAGGCTCAGTCTCAGGGAGCAATTACATTTAAGATTATACCCAGCATCAAAGAGGAGACACCATCTAAAGAAGGCAAGGTAATCATTACTTAAAAATATCTTTTTTTTTGGGGGGGGGGAGTAAATGTTTTTCCATCTCCTACATATTCATTTGTCACAACAAGTTTATTTTAATATTCTAGTTTTTAAATTATTATCTCTTGAACCTGAGTGAGGAGAAAGTAGGCCATTTCACATGTATTTTTTATATTTATTCACCTCAAGTGAAACTTTTTTTCCAGATGTTTATCAAAGCCCTCTTTGACTATGATCCTAATGAGGATAAGGCAATTCCATGTAAGGAAGCTGGGCTTTCTTTCAAGAAGGGAGATATTCTTCAGATTATGAGCCAAGATGATGCAACGTGGTGGCAAGCAAAGCATGAAGGTGATGCCAATCCCAGAGCAGGCTTGATTCCCTCCAAGCATTTCCAGGAAAGGTGAGCTGCTGGTACATAAGTATGCCTGTCTTTTCAACTGACCTTTTGTTCTCTGCAAAACATCATTCCAGCATAGTTCTGATCAAATAGGCTCTAAAACCTTGCCTTAGAATTCTTTATCCCTCGGGTTTGGATTTCTGTTTTGTCTAACTAAGTATGAATAATGACCAAAAATAATATGACAGTGCTGGGTCACATTAGGTGTTTGTTATGAAGCAAATGGAAAATAGCACATTAATATCTAAAATCATCTTGATGTGGAAGGTGGAAAAAAAGAACAGTAACTTTGGAGGGAGGGGAGATAATTTACATTGTGTTCATTTTTCTCCTAACTTTCAAGTTGTTATTTTTTTTT